TGCTTCCTGGGGTATTTTTGAAGCAACACCGGTGTCTGCTGGGGGCTTGCCAGGGAGGGGGCGTGCTGGAGCAGTCCTGTAAATGTCTGGGTGCGCTGTTGTCTTGTTGTGGATGGGAGGAAGTAGCGTCATCTTCGCATTTTCCGGTTCCAGTTGTTATGAAAACTGGTCCTCCTTGTTAGAAAGCACGGGACCGTCGGTGCAAACTAGATCCATGCATTTATTTCCTTACTACTGTAGCAAATAAAAATTGCCCGCAAGGAAGCCAAAAGAAAAAAAAAGAAATTTTTCGGATTTGTTTTAGAATACTTTATACATTCTAGAAGTCAGAGCAATGCTAAACTTTCAGATCACAGTTCATACAGGGCAGCATTTTTAATATATCAGCAGAAGTAGCAACATAACATCAATATTTCTCAAGACTATAGCATCCTTATTAATTGAAAACCGATTGGTTCAGGTATGAGCGTGTCAGTTTGTGTAAGAACCAAGTTAAAGCTACTCGGTGCCACGGAAACCAACAGTAGGTAAGCTAGAAAAAGCTTTCATTTTGAAAGATGTAAATGTTTGCATTTTCTTTCTTTGTCCTAACTACTGAACACTTTAGGATGAAGGCTACACGAAAGTAATTTTTAGCATTTCATGAGGATAGTTTGTATGGACGGGAATTGTAATACAGTTAGTTCTCTAGAATGCAATATGACTGTTGCGGCAGTGACAAAGACGGTAGTTTGGTTTCGAATGGTTGCTTCCTAAGCCGAATTGGTTTTCATGGCTGGAAGTCTCAAAACTTTATATCTCTGCTTTCCAAGTTATGGCTTCAGTAAAAAATTGAAAAAACAAAGTGCAATTTTAAGTAGTATAGCCAAAATAAGAAATATCAAAAGCAATAATGACCACTAAACCTGAAAAGGGATCCATTAGGAATTCTCAACATATCAAATAACAACGAGAGGATACACAGAAAGACCGTAGAACCGCAGAAGGGGTCTATCAGAAACTGCTAAACTCAAGCTTTTTTCTTCAGCTGCAGTTGATATCTCCGCCAATTTTGAAAGAGAAAGATAATTGAAGAGGTCAAGATTAAAAAACAGATCAAGCAATATGGCCTAAGCCGAAGGAAAACTACGGTCATTTTCTGCCAAAAATAGATATGCAATAGCAAATTTCTTTTGGTTATTTGATCGATTTGGTTCTACAAAATAAATGAATGGCAACTACAAGCCGCCTACGCAAATACATTCACAGCACAAAGAAAAAAAGATTAAATTAAATGAACAGGACTGAATGTCACTGGTAAACAGTGATTTTGCCGCAAATTTTTTGTCTGCAAGTCGGACAATTTTCGAATCTGCGTCCACAGGCTTCACAGCAAATGAAATGTGAGCATGGCATGTACAACATTTGGGGCTAAAAGATTTGAAAAGTTAGAGAAAGGATTGAAAATAAGGCAGTACGGCATCCTATTTCACTTATCCTTTTTTAAACCACACTGTTCTAACTAGTAAACTCATAATTTCTTAATAAACAGCAGTTTTAGAATACAGGCAACATTTTGGAGCTGCTGTTTCCTGCTACGGCGATTTACCAAGGAGTCGAACGCGTCTCCAGAAGGTTTTTCAAAAACAAAATTAGTTACCGATAAAATACCAGTTACTGCTAAAATCTTATTTAAGACATAAATTGACGTTTTGAAGTCACTCACTATCTGCTCAACAAGATCATTATTTTTGTAGTCAGAATCAACGGCTAATTTTTGATTCAACATTATGACATAACTTCATTTTCGTGAATGAAATGCACTGATCCGCATAAAAGTCACGACGGTTAGTGCTATCTTTCTTAACCAGTATTAGTGTTACACTATTTCGTTCTTGACCCACGTAAGACTCTTGATTTGAAGTGATCGCTCTACTTAAAGTACTATTGAAATGATTGTAGAAAAAGATATATCACTTATTAGTTACGTAGGTTCTTGTATAAAAATTATAGCAACTGTAAAAAAATTCTTTTAAACACCTTATCATAATACTTTCGAAATCAACTAACCATTTTGTCGAGGCAGATCACACATGTTGGGATCTTGCTTAATGTTGAGCGAACTTCGTCGCGTTCTATCCTCATTTCTTCAATTAACTGTTCAGCCTTCTGGATTTCATCACGATAATTTTTACATCTATCTAACTCAACCTTTTTCTGGGACACCTTAAAAAAATAAATTGAAGCGACTAAGTACTAGTTACTGCCAAAATTTTTAAACTTAAAATTGGGTCCATGACCTTCCTACAAAAGTAGATGCCACTTCAACAAATCAACACAGATACTACAGTAATGGTTAAAATGTTTATCGTAAAATCCATAATTTTTTCTAACGAACAAACACTGACTTCTGTCTTAAGTTTCTGAACATCCTTTTCCAAATTAATACATCTTTCTCGGGTCGGCCTCAGCGCTTCTTCGCTTGCATTCAATTTTGCGTTCAAATCACTAATAATCTAAAAACGAGACAATACTCTTCAGGCTGAAGTAATTCTGCCTGCACCACAGCAACGCTTCCTCACTATTCTTACAAAATAGTGAATCTCAGCTGTTTGTAGGCTAAAAACTTTAATTTGAAAGCTTTTTTAGTACCACAACTAATACCCATATCCGACCCAAAACACTGATTCGAAACGTTACCTTTTCTTTTTCTCTTAGCTCCTTTTGTTGCTGTGTTGTTGTTTTTTCCAGCTCTTCCTGTAGAACACGCAGCTGCTTGACTTTACTGCTACTTTCATGCAACTGAAATCTGATTTTTTTTTTGCAGAGAATGGTAAATAGCCGTGATTAAAATTTACCGTATTTTATTAAAAAAAATACCCGCATAATACAAATGAATGTGTTTTTCCAGCTTAAAGCTCACAGTTATTACACAATATTAGCACTATCATTAAGTGCAAGCGAAAAAGCAGCAAAACCTGGTCGTCAAGTTTAACTTGCATCTCTTTAAGTTGCTTATTTTGATCATTAAGTATCTGAATTTCTCGGTCCTTCTTATCTAATAAAGATTCCAGTGCTTCTTCCTTGCTTGCGTACTGTTTACATTTCTCCTAAAACCAATGTTATTCAACTGAAGCAAGGTTTCTTCTGCCAAAAATGATTAAGTCAGGAAGAGATACAACGCGGAACAAAAACTCAAAATATTACGAATGTTCGTACAAGAGGCCATAGCTGTCTCTGAAAACGTTCGTACTTTTTAGCAGACAGATTTTACGGTTTAATTTAGCATCTGTGTTGCCGTTTTTGACGCGCAGGAAAAGAAAACAGTTTTTTTTTGCAGTAAAGAAAAACTAGTAAAAATAATTCTAAATCTTAAATACAGCCATATCAATGATAAAACTTCGAAAAACTATTCAAAAATTTTTAAATTCAGACAAAAATATTTTTTGTGACATTAAACTTTAATCGACTTTCTTTTTTTAGAATAAAAAACTAACTGATTTTTAGAGTATACATTTTCATCTATTTTTTTGTTGTACTTTTTCAAAAAAAAGAAGCTTACTCTCAAAACTGTGTCAAATAAAAATGATTACAGCAACCAATCTAGATTGAACTTTACAGGAACTGACTAAATAATGAAAAAACTGACAAGAAATCGCTATACTTTTCTTTGTTTTAGTGTCGTAGCTTAAGGAACGTGAATTACAGCCGCTACAACTCTCGCCCCCTTTTTTTGCACATCAAATAGTTGTTTTCCGTTTCTCCAATCTTTTTATAACTATTTTTACTTAATATTGTACTCTGAAAGACCGTTTTTTAATGTCAATAATTAGCTTAATACGTGTTTCAAATTACATGCATTTCCCTTCTCTATGGTTCACTGTCTGTTGAGTTTACGTTGTTTATTGAAGGACTTAGCCTTATAAAAATTTTTTTGGCTATATTACAGTAGTTCCTTCTTTTCAAGTGTTATTCTCACTCATTTTTTAGGCTCCAGTCTTGAAATATCTTTTTAAAGAGACTTTTGTTCAATTCTCATTTGACTATACTCATCCATTCCATAATGGCCTCATAGAAATAATTGCAGAAGCATTATGTGTAAGATTATCGGTTTTAATACCTTCCCATGCAGCAATTTGTATACGCTAAAGAAAAAAAACCAAATAAAAACTTGTTTGCCACCAGGAGTAATGAAATAAAGGAATATGAAATAAACCGAAAAAAAAAACAGAAATGTTGAAGACAAAAAATAAAAAGAAATAATGAAATAAGTAAGAACACTAAGAGAACAAGAAGTCGAAAAGTAGCCGTATGCTGCACAAAACTACTGAAACCTTTCTGCGGCAAATAGAGGCCAAATTAAACCCTCACCAACGCTGTAATCCTACATCATAATTTTTCCCTCATTTGAAAGTCAATATTTTGCGATTTCAAGATGATTACGCTTGTTGATAGTACAAAAAAACATGAATAAATGAAAACTTTTGATGGACCTATTATACTGAGTGGGCAGCAAGAAAACTTCTTAGCATGCCGACTTGCTCTTGTTACCGTTGCCGTTGTAAGTATTTGTCTTGCCATTCGAGGAAGATTTCAGTTTTTCACGATATCATAAAAATTCTACTGTAATTTCGAGAATTTTAGCAAGTTTGATCTTTGCTTTTTTTTCACACTGAATAATAATGGGTGATAATTAAAATATGTTTGCTCACAGCGTCTTATAGAGTTACTGCTGCTCGAGTAACAGATTTTTAACTTAAAAAATTGTCAAAGTAAACTAGTTCGCTTTGAACTAAAACTTTTTCTTCTCGGCTTATATTTTAATGAAAAAACTACTGATATATTTCTGAATAGTTTTATAAATATCTTTCCATAATTTACAAAATAAAAAGTTTTATTGTTCATAAACAAAATAAAAACCCTTCCGTGCATCACTTAATCGCTATCTGTCATTTCAAACAGCTAAGCAAATTATAATATTTTTATCTTCTTCAAATCATAGTAAGTGACTTTTTTCATACAACTTTGAGATTCTTCAAAACTTCTGTGATTCTTCAGCAGCAACTTTCTAATGAAACGGCTGAAACTGGTGTTTATAAATTGAAAATTAACTGCTGGTGCAGCAGCACGTTTTCATGATCCTTCCACTGCTAATAATTACAAAGCTCGAAGTAAATGATTCAAAGGAGCTTTCTACAAAACCACCCTGTAGACTGATAAAAAAGATTAAGATTCGTGAAAAAAATTTAGGTTTTGAAGTAAATACCTAAAATACCTCCGTCCTACAACACAATTTTCTGTAAACTTCTCTCCCTCAAAAAAATTTACTTGTACCTTTACTTGTACCTGGCGCAGTTTTTCTCCCGGTAAACTTGACATAATCAATTTATAAAAAATGATTGTTTTTTTTTTCAAAAGCAGAAATAAATCACACGTTATAGCACTAATAAATCCAAACAAACTTGACAAGTGATTTTTAAGACCACAAAAATCAATATTTTCAGTACATAACTAAAAGCCACCTCAGGAAAGACTATAGGACAAGATTAGGTACAACAAACCTCAAGCAGTTTGATAGATCGAGTAGACTCGTCACTAAAACTTCGTCGTTCCTTGTCAAAAGCGTCCAATAACCTCTGCAATTGGAAGTTGTTACCTCGGTATCGCATTTCATGCACTGACGAAGACATTGGATCTGCAATGAAGAATGTACTCGTCATTATGACTGTATATCAATTACGTGGAAAACTCAGCACCTTTGCTGTGAGAAAAAATTAAATCTTTCCATATAACAGGTCTTAAATAGAGGCTAGTAAAAAAACAAAACTGTTATTTATACAACAGATAATTATTGTTGCGTTCAATGTAAATCTCAGATACGATTTAAATAAATTTTTCACTTAATTCCTAACCTTCATTTGGCTTCCGCACCGGTGACGAAACACTGTGGAACGATGTGGTTCTTCGGACTCCAGTTGTTGGTGTTCGCGGTGGTGACGAACTGACACAAGAACTGAAGCAACAAGCAGCTATGTGAACATACCTACACATGTTAGCATTCGTCGATAATATTAGTAATTTGCACAATAAGATTTCAGATGAAAGAATTATTATTTTTTTCTTAGAAATCAAATTTTGACCTAACCTTGACAAGAAATTCTATCTTTTCATATAAAAAAAAAGGTAATTTTGCTTATTTCTACCTACCTTTTGTCCAGTTCAAGTCCACTGTCGCCAGTATTATTATTGTTACAAAGCGTTGAAGCCTCAGTGTTGTTTTCATACATTTTTTGCACCCGAGACAATATGTCAATCATGGCATTTGTTGACGAAAATGATCGGTATGACTAAAATAACTATAAATTATTTTTGGTTCTTGAGTATTTTTTTTAGAATTTAATGATGTGCAGAGAAAAACCGATTATATATTTCTTGGAAAAGATCAATTTTTTTTCAATAATTTTTTGTGAAAATTTATTCAACTAAGTCTAGTTGTTAAAAAAAAATAAGCTCCAACAAAAAATATCGCATGTCTAAATAAGAAAAAAACGATGCTTTACTATTCCGTATGATATTTTGGTACTACGCAATAAACAAATACCCCGTCTTTTGCAGAGTTCATAGTAACTGCTTGCGTAATTTCGTCGTCTGTGTAACCCATATCTTTAGCCAAAGAAAGTTGTGCGCTGAGTGTTGTGACTTCACCTTCTTGTGCCATCTCCTCACTCCAGTGTACTAAAACAACATTTTGGAAAATCTCTGGTCAATCTGGCTAATACCACAAAACAATTTTTCCTCTTTTTTTGTTCAATTTCAAAATTGTTGTTATTGAAAAGTAGCTTTTCTCCTCATCCACGTTTTTTTAATTTGAAAATCAAAATATTATGAGAACGTAAGTTTTACAGAGCAAAATAATGATATAGAGAGGGTAACCAAAACATCTATTGCGAAAAAGATTAACTGCCTATTCAATTGACATCATTTAGATAGCTTTAAAAAAAGTAAAAACTTTCTTTTATTGTCTGGTTTTTTCTGAAACATATTTAAAATTCCTGATACTTTTGAGTTATGAGAATTATATTCCTCATTTCAATATACACTGTTGACGATACTGTGATCACTGGAGTTAAATAATTAAAAATTGGTTCACAATTAAAACAGAAAAAAAAACTGGAGAGATAAGAGATGACAGCTAAGCGAGTTAATTGAAATAAAAAGTTAAACTTGAGGTACATATCTGTGACG